GAAGTGCGGTGTGCTGTCTTGTGTTTTCTCAACATATATTTTACATATCTTCTACATCTCTTTTTCACTCCTCATTACATTTCACTTTTTTTTCTCCTTTTTCTTCTATTATAATATAGAGGATGGCTATAAGGGGAGAAGGGAGGCCATCAATAAAAAATAAATAAATAAAAAATTAAACCCAAAATGTAATGCCACCAAAATGTACAAAAAGTGCAGCTAATATACTAACAAAAAATATTTAAACAAATTTCTCAGTCCTGAGATCCATGTCCTCCACCTCCACTTCTTTGTGGAGCGCCTGGATCCTGATCTGGACCTGGAGGCATGAACTCGGCGCTCGGCTGAATTTCAAGAAGACTTTGGATTATTTTTTTCAGAATATAAACAAAATGCAATGACATTAAAATTTCAGAAGCCAATGTTTCATTCCCAAAAGATTATTGATAATATGGCAAATCTTCAAACTAAAAATAATCAGCAAAAAAATCAAGCAAATTAAATTGCAATTTTAGGAAAAGTGGTAAAACTTTCCCTGCAAAAACAACATTTGTCAGCTGATGGCATTTAATATTACTGTCAGATTGAGAAAGAGTGAGAGAGAGAGCATGCTGTGGGGTGAGATGGCAAAGGAAAAGAGGGAGAGAGACTGTCCTGAGAAAAGAGAGACAGACAGCTGAGACACAGAAGAGAGACAGACAGCTGAGAAAGAGAGACAGAGATCTGAGATACAGAGAAGAAAGACAGACAGTTGAAGGACCTGTCATCATCATCATCATCATCATTGTTTATTTATAAAGCACAATAAAAACCAAAGTGCTGTACAGGTCCTGAAGGTGCTGGAATGTTACAGGACTTTAGACAGTGTGAAGGAGTGAAGGAACTGTCCAAGGTACTGAAAGTGCTGGAATGTTTCAGGACTTTAGAGTGAAGGACTGAAGGAACTGTTGAAGGAACTGTCCAAGGTACTGAAAGTGCTGGAATGTTTCAGGACTTTAGACAGTGGGAAGGACTGAAGGAACTGTTGAAGGAACTGTCCAATGTACTGAAAGTGCTGGAATGTTTCAGGACTTTAGACA